ATAGATATGTAGATAGGTAGATAGATAGATAGATATGGATATAGATATAGATCAATGTATACATGTTGTCAAGTGTCACAGAGTCAGTTCCAGCTCATAGCAACCCTGATTAGGGTTTCTTAAGCTGTAAATTTTTATGGGAACAGAAAGATGAAGCTTTCTCCCATGAAGTGGTTGGTGGCCTCAAACCAATGACCTTGTAGTTTGTAGTCCAGTGCATATCCAGAGCCACCACACTACTATATATAAGACTGATAAGAACTCCTACACATCACATATATATAATGACCTTAATAGATAATTTCAGGAAAATATTCGATAGTTGTGTTTAAGATAATCATTTTACATACTTAAGTAATCAACAATATAGAGTATCCATTTAGGTTATTTTGTTTCCCTAAAAGAAATTAGAAATCATAGCTTCCTAAGTCACATCAGCAAGAAAGTGGTGAAATTTGAGCACAGAAAACATAAATATAAATTTCAAGTCCTCTGCAAAAATAATTATTAAGACCACTGTCCTTTCTAATTCTCAGTCCTAGATCCTTAAACCTACCTTTAAGCTGAGGATCAGTGTTCATTTTGGTTTACCTATATGAGGACTGGCTAGTAATTCCAAATGTTTTATTCTATTACAGATAGAAGATTGCAATCAGTGCTAAGAGAATTCAAGTACCACTTTCGATACCATATTTGCTTCTGCTATTCTCCCCCAACCATCAATCTTCCCTTCTAGAGACGCATTTGAAGAATACTCTTATTCCCTAGTGAAATCCCTCTAGTAGAAAAAAAACAAAGCTAAGTTACCATGGAACCAGCCAATTAATTTTGACACCTGCTTACCAAGACTGTTCAATCATTTCTGATGTCTGTTAGGTTGCTATCCTTCAGTTTACTAAAATATTCTCAAGATAATTAATAAAGTGAGAATTCCCAGCTAAAGTCTTTCCCATTGTGTAATTACTTCAAATCCTGGGTAAAGTAAGCCACCATCCTCAAAACAAACCTGCTATAGCTCAGCATGAACTTGGCCAGGAAGAATTCTTTTCTTCTAAATAAAATTCTTCCCTTTAACATTAAATCTGTACCACCTTTTCTTTACTTCTAAGAATACACAAAACAGAACACTGAAAGCTGTTTTAGCTATAGTTAATCTAATTAATAGCCTGCATTCCACACAGGAATGGAAAAGCATTTACCAATAGGATACAATGAATCATAGGAAATCGACTTAAAGAAATAATCAATGATTATTCAGGGTTTATCATTATTACAAGCTCACCAGCTACTCCTCGGAAACCCTATACAGGGTTGCGATGGGTCGGAATCAACTAGACGGCACTTCACAACAATAACATCATTATTATATCTACATTAAAAATCTATTCCACTTTTACTCACTAATGTATGGTATTTATAAATGCCATCTCTCAATGTAATTTAACCTAGTTTTAACTTGATCTGTGTGGTCTTTCTTACAAACTGGGACAACATCTGCTAGCAAGCTCACAGGCCGCTGATTAACAAGTCCCGGTACCATAAAATGTAGCTAGGAGCTTTTCAGGATCACAGCAAACTTTGTCCTTTCAGGCAAATGGAGTAAATCTACCGACACAAATGTCAATATTCCTCAGTTACAAATTAATCAGATGATCTTCCTATTTATGTATAAAAAGATGTAAGGAATGTATGTGGTTTTATTGCACTGTTGGCTACCAGTTTGTATGTTCAAAATTCCCGCTTATCAAGCAAAAAGTCGCTGTCACTGTCAGCAAAAATTTAAGACCATTTCATTTGACTCTGTCACATGGGGTCACTACTAGTCAAACTTGACTCAAGACCACCTAACAATTATTCAAAACCAAACCCACTGTCCACGAGTTGATCTAGACTCAGGGCGCCCCTGCTGTTGGTGCTGTATGCCGTTGAATTGGTTCTGACTCATAGTGACCATATACAGGAGCGGCTGGTGGGTTTGAACCACTGACCTTGCAGATAGCAGTCCAATGCTTATCCTACAGAGCCACAGCAGGACTCCAATGACCCTATGTTATTGTTGTTAAGTACCCTGTATAGGGTTTCCGAGGAGCAGCTGGTGAGCTTGAACTGCTGACCTTGCAGTCTGGCACATGAATCCACAGGGCCACAGCAGGATTCCAGTGACCCTATAGGACGGAGGAAGGCTTCTAAGGATGTAATTTTTATGGAAGCAGATTGCCTCATTTGTCTCCAGGGAAGCAGCTGGTTTAAAGGAACCACAGACCTTTCCGTTCACAGCCAAGCACTTAACCACTGCAACACCAGGACTCCTTCACCTACCAATGACAAGTAAAAAGAGGCTAAGCATTGGACCACAAGTGTGAGCCAAAAGATCGGCAGTTCAAACTCACTAGCCACTCCTGGAAACACTATGCAGGGTCGCTCGCTATGAGTCCCTCGAAGGCACAAAACAGCAAAAGTAAAGTTCAACACCGTATCTTTTCTCATCTTGAAAGTTACTTCCTAAACTTTTCATTAGTTTATGTTGTTGTGTGCCGTGCAGTTGGTTCCGACTCATAGAAACCTAAGGAACAGCTGGTGGCTTTGAACCTTGCTGTTACTAGCCCAGTGCTTTCCCTCCATCACCACACCAACTCTCTTTCATTAAGTACTTTTCCCAAAAAAATAGTACATTTAAAAGAGTAAACTATAGTACCTACATATGAAAGTATAAACCCAGGAAATATTTCAACCTGCAACTATAAACTAATTTCATAAAACTCCATTTTAAGATTTCACTTTCCAAACCCTGCTGTAAATTCAATTCATTTAAATAGGAGAATGTCACTTGAAACTCAAAAGTTCTGTTTAAAAATATATAATAGTTTGCAGTGAGTTTTAAGTAGTATTTTTTTAACCAGCAGTAACAAAACAATAATTGGAAAATAACACGTTTAACAGGTCGAGAAAATTGTCCCACGATACCTTAACAGTCACCACCATGGGCCACTGCCATCAAGTCAATTCCGACTCCCCATGACCTTATGTAAGGTTTCCAAGGCTGTAAATGTTTACAGGAATGGAAAGCCTCCTCTTTCTTTGGAGGAATGGATGGATAGTTGATTCGAACTGTTGACCTGCTGACCTCGTGGTTGGCAGGCCAATGTGTAAATCCACTATGTCTACAGAGCTCCTTACAATATCTTAATTAAGTGACCCATCACATAGCCAACTCCTACCTTTGCTTAGAGTCCAAGATACATGTCCGGTTGATTTTGTTATCATCCTGACAATAAAAATCCACTGTGATCAAGTAGATTCCAATCCATAGTCACCCTGCGGAACAGAGGAGACCTGCCCGATAGGGTTTCCAAGGCTGTGAATCTGTATGTCTGCCACATCTTTCTCCCTCAGAGGCTGGTGGGTTCCAACTACAGACCTTCAGTAAACAGCAGTGCTTTATCCACTACACCACCAGCACTTCTTATTCTGACAATAAATATCAGTAATCCATGTAGTGTCATTTCAAAACCACAAATCAGGCAACCAACCTTTTATTAAATTTTATTGGCTAAGATGTGGGCTGTGTTTACCTTTAAACCAGAACCTCTAACTGGCAGTTGTTCCCTGGACATCCTAATGTCCTCAACTTAATGCTTCCCCACCTCCACTCTTGTCTTTTCATATCAAGAAGGAATACAATGAACACTAACCTACAGGGCAGAAGTATCTTTACAGTTGTAAAGCAAGCTCCAGATCCTCTTATCTACAGAAAAACCTAAGCATACTCCCACACAGCAGCTGAGAGTGAAATAGCCAGTTAGAAAATTCCTGGTCTTCCCCACCTAATTAATGTCCGGGTCGTCTTTTATCTCATCCAAAGTCATTCCTCTATTTCTCCATTCAGGACTGTCCTAGCAAATTCAACACTGCACACTGGGTAAATTGGATGAACTGGAATGAGGACTCTGCCTATCTAACCTTGGGCAAGTGACTTAAATCCATCGACTCGATTTCCAACTGTAAACCAAGCCAAGCAATTCTAGTAACTCAAAGAATTAAATGAGATCAACGAGTAGAAGAATGAACACGGTGTTTGGCACACACTGAGCTCTTCCTAGACCCTAGTGATTATGATTACTATTACTACTAAATAAACTAAAAAGATGCCAGTGGTTATTCCCGTGGGGGAGGGGGGTAGTGGGAGGAAGGGATAGATGGGAAAAGAGGGAGGTGCTGTTGAATGAAAACTTTTAACCTTTACATTTCTGTACCGATGGCATTTTTCTCTATGTGCGTGTATTTATGAATTACATGAATAATTTGATTTAAAAATATTCCCCTTGCAAAACGCTGGTTGGCACCATAACTAAGTGTGGAAATGTTCTCGAAGAGCAGGGCATCAGAAGTGGTTGCAGGCATCTGGAACTCTCGGGAAAGGCTGGCGTCCGCGTGGGGCTTCAGGGGCGCGGCGCTCGGATCCGCTCCCCGTGCTGGGAACCCGAGGCCGCACGCGGCAGGGAGGCCAAGGCGCGCTAGGGGCAGGGCAGGGCAAAGCGGGGGCCGACGAAGGCACTTACTTGAACCTGCCCTGGCAGTGCTGGCATTGGTCCCCCACCCAGCCCGGGTCGCAGAGGCAGGTGGAGTTGACACAGCGGCCCGAGAAGCAGGAGCCGGTCTTCTCGCACGGCTTGGACTGGGACACCTGCGCGTAGAGCGCCAGGTAGAGGAAGCCATAGCACAACAGCCAGTTGTGCCCGTCCAGCAGCCAGGAGGAGGCGCCCCCGCCGCTACCGGCCGGTCGAGTCCTCCCCAGCTCCGGGGCCGCCGGCAGCAGGGGGCCAGAACGGGCCCGGCCCCCCGGCTCCATCTTCCCCGGCGCCCCTGCCTGGAGGGGGTGCGTGTTCGGGCGCCGACAGGGATGCTCTGGGGGAAACCGGCTGCAGAAGCCTCGCCGCCGCCGCTCCTCCTCGTCCTCTGCACAGCGCCGGCCCCAGTCCCACTCCCGGTCAGGAGGGACCGATGGACAGAACCCAGTCGCTGTCGCCTGCGATCGGCTGCCTGCAGTCGCACTTGGGCATCGCCTCTCGGTCCCCTGACCTTGTCCTCAGCCAGGCGAACCAAGCCGCGGCGCTCGGCTCGGGCCACAGGCGTCAGCGGCGGAGCAGGCTGCACGGGGCGCTCGGAAGGGACCGAGGGGCTCAGGGGCCCTGGGGGAGGGGCCTGGCCGGGGGAGGGGCCGCGCGGCCCCGCCTCGCCCGCGGCTCGCGCCAACTGCCGGGACTCCGAGCGCCGCGCGTCCGGGGGGGCGGGATTCGAGCGCTGAGGTGGGCGCGCCCAACGCGGGGAGGGAGGGTCGGGAGGCGGGGATCAGCCCCGCGGAGCCTGGCTGACGACCGGCGGGCCCCGGGTGGCCATGGTCTCTCTTGTGCGGTCAGCCAGCTGCCCGGGCTGCGGCGGGAACCCGCTGCGCGCCGTGCCGTCCCCCCAGCTTCGCGCGCGTACGTTCCCCACCCCCGGCCTCGCGGTGGTCTCGGCCCACCCCTGATAAGGACCCGGGCTCCCGGGGCTGAGGGGAGGCTGGCCCCCAGGTGTGGTCCTCGTGTCCGCAGGGCCCTTTGCCTCGGCGAGCCAGGGGACCCCCGCGCGCCCTGGACCCCTGAAATCAAAGATCGGACGGGCTTCGCATCTTCAGGAAAAAGAAGAAAAAAACAAAAACAGCCTTTCCCATCCACGGTCTTCAGCTGCAAAAGTGCAGCTCTTTTCCCTAGCGCTTCCTCTTCCTCCACCCCATCCTCCAGCCGATTTCTTCTTTTTTTCTTAAATGAGAAAAACTCCCTACAACACACAAAGAGCTGAGCATGTGCGGCAGGCAAAAGTCTTAAAGGTACCGCAGTCGCACCACGTTGTGAGGTCCGCAAGGACAGGGAGGGGCGGGAAGCCTTGGCCAAGTGGGGGGTGGGGGGGTGGAATCTCTTCCAGGGGGAGCCATTCCTTCCAGGGAAATAACGATCCCTTCCTCCCCAATAAAGAGCTTCGAGGTTCTGAGCCCAAAGTGTGCCCCCTCCCCCGAGACGCGCCTCGGAACCCCATGTATCTCCTCTTCTGTCTGTCAATGTTTCCTGCTCCATCTGGGACAATATTCTGCCTTGGAAAAAATATTGCAACATCGGGGTTTCTCTACAGAGGAGCAGTAATGATGTCGTTTTCCTTCCTCCCGACAATCTTTCTTCTTTTAGATGACTTTTCACGACTGAATGGCACACGCTGAAATTTTTGCTTTGTACTTTTTGTGTCTTCTTTAAATAGACTGTTTGAACCCTTGCAAAAGGAAGCCGAACACATTGCAGCCATGTATTCTCGAGTTAACAGCAGCGTTGCTGGAGCCCCACCAAAGAAGAGCAGGCCTATAGGAAAAAGAATTTGAAATCATCAAAGGCATTTCTGACAGCACTGGGTGGGGGTGGGGGGGAGGAAAGTTTTAGCTGTAACTACGCTGTCATATATTATTGTTATGTGACCACTCGTGTGTATTTTGGGTATAATGTGCCCCAAGTTCTCTCTTTTAATTCTCTGTTAGCCCCACTTCGCAGTTGAGGAGATGGTCAGTGGCAGATTAAAATTCGCGAACAGAATAGCGCAAATCCTCTGATTTAGATGCTTTTCTCAGGTATTGCTAGGCTGCTTCTATCAGCAAAGCTGTGTTCTCCTTTGCTAAATAAAATAGCAGAATAAAATGTAAGTGTTGGCTTATTTTGCAAATACCGGAGCAGTGACTTGAGGAAAACAAGGTCCAGAAAGAGGTGGCTCCTTTGCAAGTTAAAAAAAAAAATATATATATATATATGAATCTCGTTTGTATTCAAGCAAATCATAATCCCCATATAATATCAATTACAGAAATGTCATCACCAAGCCTAAGGATTAGGACGGCCCTTCCTCCTCTCACATCTTTTCCCCATCAAGATCCCCCTTAGAGACTTCTTGAAGTGGGTGGGGGCAAAGGGAGGAGAACAGTCCATAAAAACCAATTAAAAGGCGGATATTATTCTTGCTCACACTTTTCCATGTGTATGAAATCCAAGGGAAGAACTCTTTCTCATAACCATCCCTCTTAAGCTCTCAAGTCATATATGAGCAATGCTCTGCTGCCTTTTCCACTCCTCTTGTGCCAACCAAAGTCAGCCACGTCTTTCTCACATTTAATGTGGAGTTGGTTTCAGACCTGTGGAAAGGGGCCAAGCTCTTAAAACCCTCAGCAAGTGTGAAGATAATTCAAAGAATACATTGGAACCCATTTAACAAGAGACATCACTACTCCACCACGCAATGACTGTAGATTGTATAGAAGTAAAGAAAGAGTTTGCCCATTAAAAATGTATAGCTTTTAATCATCTGCCAACTCTGATTAGCTCTGTTCTGTACTTTCCACTGAAGAACATGCAGTTCCAGAGACTATCTCTCATCATTGCCCTTAAAATCAAACTGAAGCTGTGAAATTGACATAAAACTATTTCCCTAATGATCTCACAGAATTGCGAGTACTATATCCTATTATTGGGGTTTTTTTTCCAACATGCTGTCAGTCAACTTTTACTGAGTTGTTAAATGTCATCAAGTCATTTCTGACTCATAGCAATCCTGTATAGGGTTTCCAAGGAGCGGCTGGTGAGTTTGAACGACCGACCTTGTAGTGAGCAGTCCAGTAATAATCATACAGTGCTACATCGGGACTCAATTTACTGAGTAGTTATTATGAGTTTGAGCAAGAGAAAACAAAAATGAATAAAATCTACTTGACTTCTATGAGGTTCACTACACTAGGAACGCCTTATGCAGTTGAGAACCATGTAGTTTACACATGTAAAATACATTTGTATTTTACACAGAAAACATAGGATATACAGTGTTCACACAGTCAGAGACAAAGCTTGCCTAGACTCTTAACTGATGGTTCAGTATCTTCTATGATGAAGAAAATTTTCAACTCCAACATGATGTTATCTCTCTTTTCCAAAGACATCTCGTCAGCACCATGGCAGAGCTGAGCAACAGTACAGTAATTCACAGTGTTGGTAATAGCAGTCATAAATCTACCAGAGAAGTGAAAAGTCACACTAACCAGGTGCTGGGCACAAAGTCAGCTCACACAATCCACCGAAGTAGGTTGATTGAAACTGCTAAAATAGGAATTATCAATGAAAGTTTCTCCAAGAGAAAAGATGGAAAAATATTTTCTTGTTTTCTCCATAATTAGACTTCTATTAGGACTTTCAGATATTTGGGGGAGTGCTTTTAATTATAGTTTTTACCACTTAATAGTTGTACTGGAATATGATGGACGCCTCAGCTGCTTGATTTAAGAACAATCTCTACTCTGATTATTATTATTTACCGTTTGGCTCATATGAGGCTTCCATAAGCACCAAGGTAATGAGAACTATAGAATTCTGCGCCTAAGATCCAGAAATACATCACTACAAAGGGACCTTTAGTGTAATTGTGGCAGTACTTTTAATATACTGAGCATGAATGGCCTACAAGATCAGAAATAAAGTAAAATGAAGACTAGGTACTCATTAAAAAAATTGTTGGTGATCTGCAACATTGCTCTCCTCAAAAGAAATCTAACCTTTGATTCCTCTTGGATTTGTTCTTCTTTTCTATCATCTATCAATCTCTCCTGCTGTCACACATGCAAACACACACATAGACTCTCATCTTTCTGCCAGTTTTTCTACTTAACACATTTCAAGCATATTGTTATAAGTAAACCCAAAGAAATAAATGCAAAGATTCTAAATTTGTTATGCTGGGCTTGTACATTGTATTTGAGTTTTTGTTTGTTTGTTTTTTAAAAGCTGAAAAATCAAAGGACCATCCCTAAAATCTTCATCCGAAGTATTCAGACTTGTTATCAAAAAAAAAAAAAAAAAAGGTTCTACAATTAACTGACAAGACTGAAGTTGTCAAAGACCTCTTTTTGCTTGGATCAACTATCAACACTCATGGAAACAGCAGTCAAGAAATCAAACGACATATTGCATTAGGCAAATCTGCTGCAGAAAACCTCTTTAAAGTGTTCAAGAGCAAATATCAGTCTGAGGACTAAGGTGCACCTGACCCAAGCCATGGTATTTTCAATAACCTCATATGCATGCAAAAGCTCGACAGTGAATATGGAAGACCTTAGAAGAATTGATGCTTTTGACTCATGGTGTTGGAGGAGAATATGAAAGTGTCATGGGCTACCAAAAGAACCAACAGATCTGTGTTGGAAGAAGTACAGCCAGAGGGCTCCTTGGAGGCCAAGATAGTCAGACTTCGTCTCTCATACTTTGGACATATTGTCAGAAAGAACGGGTCCTTGGAGAAGAATATCATGTTTGGTAAAATGGAGGCCCAGAAAAAAAGAGGAAGATCCCCAATGAGATGGATTAGCATAGTGGCCGCAGCGATGAGTTCAATTGTAGTAACAATTGTGCAATTGGCACAGGACCAGGCAGTGTTATGTTCTGTTGTGCATAGGTTCGCTATGAGTCGGTACCAACTTAAGGCACCTAACAACAACAACAACAATCAATTGCAGAAATTTTCCTTTTGTAAAATTTTATTTGGTAAAAAATATGAGCTAGGAGTTTCTGTGAAACGCGGTATAGTCTGTATTTGCATTTATTTCTGTTCCCTCCCTAAACTTTAACATTACAGGAAAGACATGAAGCTTGTTTTTTGGTTGGTTCATTTGAAGGTATAAATTCACAATGACAAAGAAAAAGAGCGAGGAACCAACAATAGATGGTAGGAATCAAGGCAATTTTAGATGGAAGAAAGTGGATGCAGCAGTAGGAACCACTGCTTACAGAGATGAATGTTGATGACAAGATGCAAGCCTGTTTCTCCTGAAGAACTTAGTCTCAGTACGCAGGCAAGGAGAACCTTGGACGGCAGAGCTAGGGCTCTCAGGTGAAAGCAAGCAGAATAGCTGAGGGCAGTTTAAGGACCTAGAGTTTCTTTGTTGTTGTTGTTAGGTGCCATCGAGTCAGTACCGACTCATAGTGACCTTATACACTGCAGAATGAAAAACACTGTCCGATCCTGGGCCGACCCCACTACTGTGGCCACGCTTGAGTCCATCGATGCTGCCGCTTGGCCAGTCCATCTCATTGGGGGTCTTCCTCTTTTTCTCTGACCCTCCACCCTACCAAACATGATATCCTTCTCCAGCGACTGGTCCCTCTGACAATATGTCCGAAGTATGAGAGACAAAATTTGGCCA